CTGTGCGTGTGCGTGTCTCTCTCTCTCTCTCTCTCTCTCTCTCTCTCTCTCTCTGTTTGCGCGTACGAGCGCGCGAGGCGAGCACATATATCTCGCCGCAAGGAAGATATAATTACATCAATTAACGCACACCCTGCCGTGCGCGTACACCGGTAAAACTACACCCCTCCCTGCAAGAAGCGCTCGCGCAAGTCCATCCTTCCGGGTTATCTCGAGCCAGCTCTCGCGTAACCCCTAAATATAAACCGGCTCATGTACACGTGAGCATCGGGCTATATGTCCTGTCGACTCCGCATTTCCTCTAATTCCCTTACGTGTCACAGCCATTTCATTTGAATTTTTTCGACTGAAACCACGGCTGTACTGTACGAATTACTATTGCAAACAGACGTTTTGCAGAGCGCGGAACACGCTTGCGTTTCGACCTATTTAGAGACATGCGATACAGCAGAATAAAAAGCACGAAAAAATTATAAATGATGATAAATATTTGAAAGCGTGCGTACTTATGCTATTATTCGAACATAAAATATATGAAAAACATTATTATTTTATCGTCGTTGCGGCGGTTTCCTTAATAATGGCGCGCACATTGCAAATACAAGTTACTTTGCCATTACATTGCCCGCGGTAACTAAAAGCTTAAACGAGCGGTAATTTCTGAAGCGACGAGCTTGCAGCTCAGTTAAAAACACGAAAAGACGGCCGTGATGCGCCTTTTGAAGCTCGTTTAGCGCTGGAAGACCGCGGCCCATTCAGGATCTCAAAGAAATGAAACGGTGTAAACGAGATCGCTCCCAGACTAGGCTGCATGCTGAAGCTATAGCCTTTGAAGCTTCTCTTATTTTCCCAGTTTATTGTTTGCGGTTGCAGTTAAAAAGAGGTATAATGTGCTCTCTTTCGTAGTTATCCTAATATATATTTTTATATGTATGTATATATTTAACACATCACCGGTTATTAAAATCAAGTAAAATATATTTTAGTCGCAAGAATAAACAATAACAATTTTTGTCAATTAAAAATCGTAGCCCCCATTTAGCCATTATAAATATGACGCTTTACAGCTCTTTTTCTTAGATTTTATATGGAAATAATCTTAGTACTTTTTAGTACTAGTACTTAGTACTTTTCCTCATGAATTTACGATAAATATATGGACATGGGATTGAAACGCACTTTGTGTAGGAAATCACATTTTGTAATCATTGTTCTTGAAGTTAATTTCATAATCGTTACACGATTGCGCGTATAAAGGAAGTGGCATGTACTATACACATCCGCTCGGTAAATTAATGCTTCTGTTTAAGCAAATTCTATTTTACGTATCTTACGCTCAGTTAAAGCCGTTAAGACCGTTACGCATGAATATTGCGTACTGCAACGAGAAACGGCGAAATCCGGGATTATTATTAGCTGGGATTTTAAGACGTCTTATTTCCAAGCGAACGTAGAACACAAAATTACATTAAGGGAACGGAGAAAATCAGAGAACAAGAATATTCCTTTTCTCGACGTTAATATTATGATTTTTTTGGTGCAGTAATTGTATGTAATTCAGTGCTAAATTAGCAATTTATCATACTCGATCGTTCACTGTTACACATTTAAATACAGTAAATAATAAATAGATCGAACGAATTAAATGCAGTAAATAATAAATAGAAATAAATAGATTGAACGGTTAAATTACGTGTGTTATTAGTGCATTTCGCAAATTGAGGTTTTTAACTGTTTGTATATATAAATAAATGAATGCGTGTTTGAAATTTAGTCCTGACAGTATATTCATCAAAAGCATCGCGTGCTTGCGTAAATTGCAAGCGAATAAATTCTCTGCGAAAGTCCATTATGCAAATATTATTGAGCGAGAGGATATGCACCTAAGAGAGACGCTACTTGAGAGAGGACTTGCTGTAAAAAAAAAAGAGACGTTCAAGCCATGCACGGCATTAAATACATAAAATTTCATCTCGCGGGCATAACGACCGAAGTTTGTTAATAAGAAATTGATAGATTGCTCCCTTGCTATCCCGAGCTATGTCGGTAGTGAAATCTGCAGATAGGCGTTTCCGCTTGGTTTAATATGCGACAACAGTTTGGAACCGATTAGACAGCCGGGTGTGGGAAGAGAAAGTCATCGAGTCGACGTTGATCGAAAATCAAATGAGCTGATAAAATGCGCGCGAACCGATACAGAGAGAGAGAGAGAGAGAGAGAGAGAGAGAGAGAGGGGGGGGGAATTCCGATTTCACGTGTTACGAGGAGGACCGACCGAGAGGGGAAGCGACTTGTCACGTTTAATCCCGACGTGTCCTGGCTCCTCAGATCGGCCACCATCGACGCCAAACCGTTGAAATTTTTAAAAGAGCCGTAAATCCGCTGTTATCCGCAGTCCTGCGCAAGACAGAGATAGTTGGAATTCTCGGCTTGACGAGTACCCAGGGAGCATTCGTGATACTCGTTAAAGTTTGATTAGACTTTGATTGCCGGCGGAAAACGGACCAATTTAAACTCCGCCTCGCGGACTGAGAGTAAAATAATAAAAAAAAGAGAAAAAAAACGAAAGACGGAAAGAAGAGGGGGAGAGAGAGAGAGATAAAAAGGTGGAGGAGAGAAAGAGAGCAAGCGGGAACGACATCCGGCGACCAAGTGAATGCGGACATTACGTCTCGGCTTTGCTGTGCGTTCCCTTCATGAAAGAATTTAGTCGAGAGCAGAGCTGTCTCTCGCTTGTACAACCGATGCGCGGACAATGTGTTTACACCGGGATATGTCCCCGGCACCAGGAGTAATTAAACTTTTTCCAGTGTGAAATTGCGGGGCTGCGCCGATGCGCGGATCTACCGGGGTATATATATATACGGTTGCGCCCCGATCGCGCGCGGTGAAGAAATTCTGAAAGCAGGATATAATTGCAAAAGCGGAAGGGAATAACGATCGATACCACTCGCTTCACATCTTGTATACATCTTCACCGTGAGGAGTTACAAACAATAACTTTCCTCCGTTTGGCGTCTCCTCGAGTGAAAATATTCAGCGCTTTTGCAGCGGCGCGGCGGCGATATTGTATTCAGAGATAAAACACAAT